GCAGACAAGTACCTGCCACACAACACCCCAGACTTAACAGTTGTTGATAAGAAAGACAAAAAATTCTGGATAGTGGACATTGCAATACCTGGAGACAGCAGAAGAGAAGAGAAAGAACTGGAGAAAAACAAAAATAGAAAGACCTGCAAATAGAAGTAGAATGACTGTGGCAAAAGAAAGCAAAGATAGTCCCAATAGTTATAGGTGCCTTAGGTGCAATCCCAAAACATCTGGAGCACCGCTTGAATACCATCAGCATTGACGCAATCACCATCAGTCCGTTGCAAAAGGCAGCTTGACTTGGAACAGCTCACATCCTGCGACGATGCCTTTCACACCATCAGACAACAACACCTGCCTATCCCAGGTCCTTGGGAAGGACTCGATAGGTGGATAAAAATGCCAAGTCCAGTCTAAACAACTGTCTGACTCTGTGACCAACAATAATACTGCCATATTTTACTGTCCAATCATACTTAATGTCACTGTATTCAATAGAAGTTACATGAAGGAAAATACATATAGCTTTGCAGCTTTACACTGCTCCAAGCTGCAGTTCTACAAAACTGAGATCAAATTCCACTGAATGTGCTAGGATGGATTTCTGAGTCTGGGAGGAAAATTCACAGCACCTTCTCAGGCACCCTAAGAATAAAGTAGAAGAGATTCGCCATATTCCCAGGGAAAGAGTTGTGTCTGTGTGTGTGATATTAGCACAGATTTCATCACAGGATGAGTGACAATTCAGTGCAATATTCTGATGTGAGATTTTGAGGACAGACTTGTCTACCCACCCTGGGACAGAGGGACCCAAACCAGCTGAGACTATTGCAGAGATGGGAAGAAGTGTAAACCTTGCATGTCTATATCCAGTTATGTAAGACAATTGTTCATTAACCAGTGACAGTGTTGAATTGTTTTCATAAAATATCTCCAGCCCACATTGCAGTATGAGAACATCTTGAGTTTGTTTTTTAATAATAAGTTGCCTGTTTGGAAAAAGGAAAAAAAGTCACTCTCTAAGAAAGAAATCTGAAATGTCGATTGCTTTTGCACACAGTTTAAAATTGGCCAAACAGATGTTTGGTGGTGTTTTTCCCCCTTTCTTTTTTTTAAGGAAAAAGAAAACTTACAAACTCTACTTCCTGGCTGAATGGTGTGTGCCAAGTTTCAGCTCCAGGGAAAAAGAAAAAAAAAAATACAGCTGAATTGTAAATTCCTGACCATCAGCATTTCGAATGAGATCCTGACAGATCCTTGAGAAAAATAAAATTAAAAAGAATCATTCAAGAGTCTGAGAAAGTATATTACAATGTAAAATACAAGAGTGATTAGGCAGGGGTGCCACAGATCAATGCAAGTGTTTAAACCCAAAATGGAATTTGCCTGCTTGTTTTAAATTTGGTCCAGATTTTTTTTTTTTTTAGAGCTCAAGGTGGGCAGGGGGGGGGGATCTTCCAGATCTGTTGGACTACATTGTGCCCTGTGGAAATGATGGCAAGTGTAGAATGCACTAGGCTGAGGGAATCTACTTGAAAATGTTTGGTTAGAAATCTTGACTGTCTTGCATTTCACAGTATTCTGGACCTCCCACATTTTCCCCATGTTTCCTCCCTCCACAGGGCTTTACCCTGGCTTAGCTAATCTTGGTTAGCTGTTCCCCGCTACCTGTCCTGTCTTGACATGACCTTGTTTATGGTGCATGGCTGACAAGATCAAGGCTGCTTTCCATTCCGTCTTCATGACTTACTCCATCCTGCTAGCTTACATTTCAGGACCTGATTCCTGATTATGGAATTCTCTTCATTTTCTAGTCTGATTCCACACACTTTTGTATACTCTTAAGAGAGAGATGAGAACTTACTTATTTAATAATCCAGATGGACTGGTGGAAGCAGTTGTGAGTAGATGCTGAGAATGACTGCTAGGAAAATTAGATGGTAGGCTTATCCTGTTGTAATGAGTAAAATCAGATGGCAGGGTGTTAGGTTATAGGATTTGTATTTGCCTAAATATTATTTTTATGCTGACTGTAGATATATCAGAAGTCAGTTTGATCTAGTGCTTAAGATACAGGACTAGGAGTAGTAAAACCTGCATTCTAGTCCTGCCTTAGACACAGAAGCCAACTGCGTGACTTTGGGCCAGTCCTGGCCTCAGCCCTAAGAAGAAAACGATACTTCTGAACCACTTCTGAAAATGTTGGCAGGAAAACTACATAGACTGGTCCATATAGTTGCCAGGAGTCAAGATTGACCCAAAACATAGATAAATACATAAATATATATATTGATTGTGTAGTGTCCATGTAATTTTTGCTTTTATTTTAGCTTAAATGATCATTTTAACTGTGGCTGGACCATGCCCAGTGGGGGCCTTATTATAAATAAAATGTTAGTTGTTCACCTTGTTTATAAGGTTATTAGATAAGATGAAGTCTCCTTTGGGTTGATTTTGGTTCCGTGGGACTTCATGGACATGGCTGTGTAATGTTCTTGGCAGCATCTCAGAAGTATTTTGCCATTGTCTTCTTCTGGGTCTTTTTTTCAGCCTCACAGTCTAACTCAGTGTTTTTCAACTTCAGCAACTTCTGGCCACAGTCCCACTGGTTGTTCCCTGCCACACCATTTTCTTGCCCTTGCAAGACACATTTTACTACTCACCATTGTTGTTTCTTCTGCTGGGCACATGGGTATAATTTCAAGCAAAGCATTGGTCTGCAATCAACTGGCATTTGAACAATGTTCTAGAAAGATCACATGGGGCTCAGCAGCATCCTTGGAAATAAAGTTCAGTTGTGAGACATGCATTCGACATTGTATCGTGTTGGTTTGAATGAATGAATGAATGAATGAATGAATGAATGAATGAATGAATGAGAGGAAGGAAGGAAGGAAGGAAGGAAGGAAGGAAGGAAGGAAGGAAGGAAGGAAGGAAGGA